GAAGTAAATGTTTCTCTTCGATTTGCTGCATTTCTTGAACATTTAATTTTAAGTTGTTAACTCTCTGTTCGATTCAAGCTTTGCAACTTCCTGCAACCGGTCATTTTGAATATTCTTTTTTAAATATGATGCATCAGCCTGTGCATGTATTTAGGGGGATATACGAAAGAGTAGATGAAAAGGTTATCATGTTGACTTCAAATCAAACGGAGTTTGGATATTATATCCGATCCGTATAATTCTCATTACACCAGAGGTAGATCTCACCATTGATTGAATATTAGAGAGTTTAAGTTTGCTCATAAAATCGAAACGCCAACCTGTATGTATGACCAATCGCCCAAATACATCTCTTAAATATTTTCCGTTCACGTTTAGATTGTGAAAAACTTTGCAAGGTTTTGAAGGCAGGTGATCATATCACCCTTTAAATTATAATTGCTTTGGACATATTTGCATTATGATTCAGAAAATAAAAATAAGAATCGAAAGGAAATGTTGGTATACTTTAATTTCTTACTTGCAACTGCAGTGCATTCATAGCCCGGATTCATAGTCTTGCGACATGTCTATTGTGTAAGAACCCCCCCCCTTACCCTCAACTCAAGGGGTGAAGTGGATGTACCATGCATAGTAAAGGAGTGTTTTCCCCTGTGATCTACAAAGGCTTAAACCATATCTTAACAACCGAATTAATATCCAGGCCCATTTATCCTATCTGGATTGTCCTTAAATATATAGATAGACCTGAGTAGCTTTTTGGGAAAAGGTTTGCATTTCCCCCGTTGAGATGTAATTAATAGGGAGGTTAAATTACATGTTTTTAATAGAGCCCGTACGTAAGCGTGTAATATTTCGACCCCCGGGGATTAATGTCCCGCTCTAAATTCACATTACCAGGGACCTAATTACAATTATTTAAAAAAATAATAATAATAAATAAATCTAATAATAATAATAATAATAATCAGTCGAATAGTAATTAAGCCAATTGTTTCTTATTAGCAATGCATATTCTGATTTCAAATTCTTTAAATATAAACAAACCTACAGGGAACTGACTGTCATTTTTAATTTAGTTTATTCCAAGATACATAGGCTCTCCTAAATGTATCACTTTATCTCATACATGCTATGCTTCATGTTATGACCTGCTTGATCAGCCATTTTGAATGACATCTTTTATTTGGTACAATCGTTCTGATCACCTTAGATCCAAATATCATAATAGACCGAAATATTAGTGTCTACTGTGTACGTGGTACGTTATACCTTATAGCAAAATAAATAAAAAATAATGTATTTTTTGGTACACGGGGGAAACCTTCCTGTAAAGATTTATTACGATCATTTATTACACATACCCAGAAAATAACTAATTTAATTAAAATGTCAGTCATCATTAAATATTGGTATGAAAACATGATCTTCTTGCACTGTTTTGCATAACTGAGATTAACATCTAAATTGAATTTTAAACTTGAAGCATTTTGATGATCGGTTTTGAACTCCAATGATTCAGTATCGCAATTTAGAAAGCCGCGGTCTCAATTGTTCCAATTTAGTACGGCGCCCGGCCAATGAGTAGTTTTGCACTCAGTTTTGCACAAACAACAAAAAATGTTTTGGACAAACAACATTTATCAAACGCTCATACCTGATTGGTAAAAAGTATGGCAGCGGTGGCGTGGGATTCGAACCCACGCCTCCGAATAGACTTGAGAAGTTTTGCATTCAGTTTTGAACAAACAACAAAAAATTTTGGACAGACAACATTTATCAAACGCTAATACCTGATTGGTAAAAAGTATGGCAGCGGTGGGATTCGAACCCACGCCTCCGAAGAGACTGGTGCCTTAAACCAACGCCTTAGACCGCTCGGCCACGCTACCAGTTGCGAGAGCGGTTAACCTACACGTTCAAATCTAAACCGTGAACGCTCAAGTTCACATTTCGTAAGACAAAAATATGAATTACCTTCTTTTGAAAAGATCAAGTCAAAACATTTGTTTCTTAAAAAATTGTGGCAGCGGTGGGATTCGAACCCACGCCTCAATGAGACTGGTGCCTAAAACCAGCGCCTTAGACCGCTCGGCCACGCTACCAGCTATTAGACGGAAAAAGCTACACGTTGAAATCCTAACCGTGAACCCGAACGCGTTAGTTCACGCTCAAGTACACGTTAAAGAAAAGGATCTACTGCACTCTCCGTTATAGTTTCCCCATGAAAAAAATGAATCATTTTTTGGTGTAACATAAAGAACACAATGTCACATAATGCCTTAGAAAATATTTCAACATTTGGATCCACATGGGCTGAGGTTGAGGTCATTAAGTTCAGCAAGGGGGTGTTGACTTGACATCGGATGTGCTCCATTGACATAACATGTGGACAAAAATATCTAGAATACACTATATGACCTGAATCGATTGAAATTAGATAATTTCACAATATGACACAAATGGTATATCACATCAGATGTACAAATATGAAGTTGCCATGTCATATTTCCATTAAAAGATTATACACTCTTATTGTAGTATCAGGCCATGTCACTAGACATACCAAACGGTATCGAACAAAGGCGGTGAGATTCAAACCCACGCCTCAATGAGACTGGTCCCTAAAACCAGCGCCTTAGACCACTCGGCCATCCTACCGGATAGGTTCATTGAAAATCAGTTAAATACTACAGCATAGAAAACCAAACGGTATCGTACAAAAGGTATGGCAGCGGTGGGATTCGAACCCACGCCTCAATGAGACTGGTGCCTAAAACCAGCGCCTTAGACCACCCGGCCACGCTACCTGATAGATACAGAAAATATGAGTCCAAATGAAAGAAAAAGTGACTCCTGACCAAAATAAATGGAGTTTTCTAACGTTCAGAACTTTGGTTCATCGCGTGCATTGCATCATTGAACTTTCACATATTCAAAACTCTGATTTATATCATAAGCCAAGGACCATTTTGACATTATATCCTAACATACAGTTTATACTCGGTAAAAATGATTTATTTGTACAATTGGAATCCTTTTAAATGGTATTAGAACAGTATTTCAGGCCTAAAATGCAAAGTGCAAACCTTTTATCTGTAGGCTCAGTCAATTTGCTAAAGATAAAGTGATACATCCCACTTACTTCCATCTTTGCATATACCTCGAATATCTAAGGTAATCAAAAAACGATAAATTACTGAATTCGAAATACTATGGCAGTTAACTTTAAATTTGAGGGTTCGCATTTTTTGGTCAAGATTTTTTTTGGGGGGGGTCCTCAGAACCCCCTCTCCCTACGGCCCAACTCAAGGTGACAATTTGACTCTATAGATTGAAACTTATGCTTTCGAAACATAATAACTAAAATAAAATAAAAGTAAACGGAAATGGCTACTTTGTTGGATTGCCAGCGCCAAACAGACCGACAGATGGAATGATGTATACGCGCGCGGTAAGCTTAGTAAAACGTATGGCAGCGGTGGGATTCGAACCCACGCCTCCGAAGAGACTGGTGCCTTAAACCAGCGCCTTAGACCGCTCGGCCACGCTACCCGTTGATATCACAACAATTGTATGGTTATTCCAATGGTAAATTAGTGAAGAACATGTTCAAAACTATATTGTAGAAAGAAACACATATAAGCAATGTTACATAAATATGTTATTTCAATGATTTTATTTCTTTTGATTTCGTTTTTCGCTTTTTGGACCGCCTTTGTATGAGGCCATCTACCTGTTCACACTACCCTACCACGTGACCACATTTAAAAATGATACAGGGTACGGTTAAGTTGCAAATGGAGCGGGTATTCTCTATCTTTGTCCATTGGGCTTTTCTGGTAATAATACGTTGCAAACTGCTCAATGAATCTATACAATGTATAGTAGAACACTTAGAATATGTGTAAAATCTAGTATACATTCAGAACTATGGAAATAAACAAACGTCCTCCATTTGCAACTTCCCTGTAGCCTGTACTTCTTTTAAAGGAATACAGGATACAGTATGGGGGTATAGTAGTGTGTGTTACGAGTGCTTAATTTACGCTAGTGTTTATCATTTCAATAGAGATATGAATCATAGTGACATGATTATATTAAATAAGCATTGATTGAGAAGCTTTGCTCTTTTTATAAATAATGTAACTCACATTACACTTTCTATTGTTATATTTTCCTTTTTTGTCTGAAATATTGTTAATTATGTAACAAAGTACAAAGTAAATTCAAAAATTAAGACTGCATGTATTTTCATTAAGTCCATCAAGTTAATTTTGACAGCAGCATGTGATTGCTGTCGCTGTTGTTTGCATTTGTTAATAAATATACGAAAATCATTACCATTTATCCATTTCCTGTCAAATTCACAGGCAACATGTGTTTTTGGAAGCTGTGGAATTTGAACCCATGCGTCCTAAGAGACTGCATGGTACGTGATTTGACGTGATCATGTGTTCGGAATGAAATGAAACATCTATCCGAACCTCATTGGAACAAAACGACATAAACACAACGTCTTTAGGTCTCTCAATATTGTAATTGTACAAAGGAAAGTATGGTTGATTTCAAAAAGTATCTTGTTAATGAAAAAAAAGGTTTGTCTTAATTTTTTTTGTTTTAAGTTTTCGCATTCTTTTTGTAAAATCAACCAACATTTCCTTTGTATAACTATATAATATTGAGAGGTCTAAGAAAATGTTGTATATGCCATTTTGTTCAAACGAGGTTCTGAAAGACATTTTATTTCATTCTCAAGAATTGGTAGAAAGGAACAAAAAAAATTGCACTAAAAAAATGTTAACAAACACAGTTATATAAAATATATATAAATAATGTTTGCAATAAATTGTTGCCAATCGGTCAACATTACATAAAGGACCGTGTCTTTTTACAGAATGTTTTCAATAATTGGTTTAAGAGAAAAACATTGTTGAATTCAGTTCACCATATCGATACTTATCCTTTTAGACCTTACTCTACAACATGCAAAATGCAAAAACGTATTGAAATCGTATTAATACACTTTTTGTTAATGCCCCCTTGGAACTTTCCAATATTCCCTGCCTTCCTTTAATTTTGAGTAGCGAAAGGTCAAGGTGTTTATTTGAAAGGCCTATTGTTCTTAATCAATTTACAGTACAGGTAAAGTATCATAATATGTTCTTTCCAGGATGGTCACTTTGTCCACCATATTGGGATTGCTTGCATTATAACATCGATTTCTGAGTAGAAACTCCATCAAGTCCATTATTGTAAATCTCTCGTTCATTGTGGAATCAACCCTCAGTTATATAGATCATGATCAACTACTGCAGATGATTACAATTCCCATTATGAGCATGAAGAATTCATTTTTATTTCATGTTTTGATATATAGTAGCTGCAGTAGCTTTGGTTGAAATATATTGTCCTGGAACAACAAAATCAAATATTTGGAGAATATGAACATCATAAAATTCAGTTGCATATATATCCGTATGAATTTTTATATAATACGTCAATAAATCCAAATTTCTTTTAATATTTGAAGATCTTCTAAGAAATATCACTCAAAATTGTTGTAAGAAAAAGTCTGACCAGCTATACACCTTAATGACTCGCAACAGAAATCATGATCTCATAAGGATGGTATGACTCCACCAATAACTTACGTCTTGTGATACGATTGGACATATTATGGCGCTCTGTACAATCTCCATAGCTCTGACAACATTTTCAGTAGTTTTAGTTGAAATATCTTGTCCTGGAACAACAAAATCAAACATTTGGAGAATATGATCATCATAAATTTCAGTTGCATATATATTTGTATGAATTTTTATATAAAACAATAACTCCCAATTTCTTTTAATTTATGAAGATCTCCTAAGAAATATCACTCAAAAAAGGTCAGACCAGCTATACACCTTAATGAATCGCAACAGAAGTCATGATCTCATAAGGATGGTATGACTCCACCAATAACTTACGTCTTGTGATACGATTGGCCATTTTATGGCCCTCTGTAGAATCTCAATAGCTTTGTCAATCTTTTTCTGGTCAATCATTGCCTACAAGAAACAGAATTCATCACAAAAATCTGACGTATTCACGGGAAATTTCTAAGGAAACCAAAGCCATGTGACACCGTGTGGTAAATGTATTTTACATTATCATTACCCTGGTATCATCGGGGCATACCCACACGGTATGATGGCTACGCAAGGGGCTATATTATCTTGGATTCTGCCCGTTTTATAAATTTCTGCCTCCTTGTCTTATTGGTCTTTTGACTAAACTTGATGTCTGTTAGAGATTTAAAAATGGCATCTTCTGAAAATGATGATCGCCTTTTTACGATTTCTGATAGTGACAATTAGAATTCTGTACCTTTGCTAAGTAGAATGCATTTTCCTTCCATTGTGGCCATATTTCATTAGCTTTGAGGAGGTCTTCAACTCCTTCAGGGACAGTTGCTGTTGGTGGTGTCGCGAAAAATGTCGCTGCAAGTTTCCTCTGCATCCAGTTAAGGGACGCCACCTATAAAAATCAAAGCGTTCAATAAGTTACTTTTTTGCTGTTTGACTGTATTAGACACATTGATCTATATATTTCATACGAGAGCAACATTTAAAACTTCTTGTAGAGTTATGTAACATTAAGTGGATGTTAAAGCTAGTGGGGTGAAAATATATTTATTTGACACCCTGTACAAAATAAATGAATTATATCACACCACATTAAAGCATACGATAACGTTCATGTGAAACTATAAACACTAATAGGGAGGTAAAGCTACACGTAAGCGTTCTAAGCGAACTTAACGTGAACGTGTGATATTACGACTCATGCAATCACCGTCCTTCTCTCAATTGAATTTTTCTTGTACCGATATACTCAATCGGGCAAATAAATACGACGAAAGGAAGAACTGAAGTCTAGAGATGCTACACTTTCAAGGCAAGTACATATGGTTGGCCTATTAGTATAAAGAATACATGCGTTGTTTACGGGTGTGTAGGCGTTAATTACGCCCGTGTAGGCGTTAATTACGCCCGTCAAAGCGTTAATTACGCCCGTTAAGAAGTGAATTCTATACGCGTTAAAACAAATACAGGCGTAAACTAACGGCGTTAAAATGTTCAATAGCGGGCGTCAAGACAGTATCTAACACCCGTTGAAAAACATCTATACGCCCGTCGAGTTCATTTTAGCGCCGTGAATTATGAACCAATCAGCATCTTGCTTACATGATGATACGATGCATTATAGCTAAAAGTACAACTCCGAGATCCTTGTGCAAGTTAATAACATACTCATGATTGTGCCAGGAACAACTGTTGCAATTGGAGGCATATGAAATATTATTTCTTTTCTGGGTGTCTCGGTGCACTATTTCTGCAAATGTGAAAGATGTACATCGTATATTAAATGAGTTATGTATTCCTGGAAATAACATGTGACATATAAAGACGGCTGCATAAAGATTCCAAAAAGTACACTCCCCTCCATAAGTTTGGCAACCTTTTTTCCCCCATTGAACTACGTGTTAAAGCCTCTTTACCTTTGACTTTTTATTTACTTAACCTGCGATGAAAATACTTATACTATTGATGGAAACGTAATTTGACTTTAATTCCAATACCTCCAAATTTTCTCAATTTTTTTCCTCAATTACAGTAGGTCGAAGATTGATGATGAATTTGATAAATTTTTGAAAATCGACATTTCCATGTTAACCAATGGGAAATGGTAGGTTTGCCGCAAGTCATATGACAGAATATCCATCCATCCGAGTCCTTGCAAAAAATACGAGTTAGTCAGGTAATTTAATTTGCTTACTTTATTTAACAAAAAATTGATATGTTTCTTCAGGTTCAACAAAGTTATAGGGCTTTAAAGTCAAAATTGTTTTTCAAAAAAACTCTCCCATTGAAATAACACAGGAGGCGAAAATTCTTTTCAAAAATGACTTTGAAGCGCTGTAACTTTAATATTCATCAAATAAACTAAACACTTAGTGTTCAAAAAAGTTAGACAATTCAATTTTCTATATGAAAATATTTTTTGCTGAATCTTTTACTGAAAAGATATCCTGATTTCTGATTTGCCCCGAACCCTCCATTTCCCATTGGATTACATGGGAATGACGATTTTCAAAAATTCACCAAATTTATCATCAATTTTCGACCTATTGTAATTGAGGAAAAAAATTGAGAAAATTTGGAGGTATTGGAAATAAAGTCAAGTTACGTTTCCATTAATATTATAAGTTATTTCATCGCCGGTCAAGTAAATAAAAATTCAAACGTAAAGAGGCTTTAACACGTAATTCAATGGAGAAAAAAGGTTGCCAAACTTATGGAGGGGAGTGTACACATCTCCCTAACACCAAATTTGAACATATGTTGGCTAGGTATACTAGGTATATAGGCTCATTTGACATTTTCAGTACGTTTTCAAAAAATGCCAGATCTGCAGGATATAGTCTAGAGTCAATTTGCAGTTGATCAGATACTATAATTCTAGTATCTGGACACATCCTTTAGAGGGATACACTAGCGATCTGACTGTATAATGAGACTGTAAGCTGCAATGCGTGTGAGCTTAATAAGTCCCTACCTAGCCTACCTCTGAAGCCGATGCCTAGATTGGAGAATTATCCAAAAATCATCGTATTTAGAAACCAAACATGTATACCTTCTCAAAATATTCTGCAATTTTGTCGTTTCTACAATGGGTGTTGATAACTGCCAACACAGTACATGTCTTTTCAATTTGCCTTTTAATATGATTTACTAAAAAATGAATACTTCTTTGGTTAAATCTAGTTCAATCTTGAACGAATATTATTAAGGACCTCAATGCAACACACTAAAATGTAAGCAGGCTTCTGATTGTTGTTTACTAGCGCAAGTATCTCGGAGTTGCTCTTTTAGCAAGGATGCATTAAATCATCGTGTAAGTAAGGTTCTGATTGGTTCATAATTTACGGCGCTAAAAATAAACTCCACTGGCGTGAAGATGTTTCTCAGCGCGTGTAAAATAACAGTCTTAACGCCCGTAATTAATAATTTCAACGCCGTAAGTTCACGCCTGTAAATGTATTCTGAACGCCCGTAGAATTTACTTCTTCACGGGCGTAATTTACGCCTACACAGGCGTAATTTTTCGTCAGCACGGGCGTAATTTTACATCTACACGAGCGTAATTAACGCCTACACACCCGTAAACTATGGTTGGCCTATTAGTATAAAGAATGCATGCGTTGTTTACGGGTGTGTAGGCGTTAATTACGCTCGTGTAGATGTAAAATTACGCCCGTGCTGACGAAAAATTACGCCTGTGTAGGCGTAAATTACGCCCGTGAAGAAGTAAATTCTACGGGCGTTCAGAATACATTTACAGGCGTGAACTTACGGCGTTAAAATTATTAATTACGGGCGTTAAGACAGTTATTTTACACGCGCTGAGAAACATCTTCACGCCCGTCGAGTTCATTTTAGCGCCGTGAATTATGAACCAATCAGCATCTTGCTTACATGATGATACGATGCATTATAGCTAAAAGTACAACTCCAAGATCCTTGTGCAAGTTAATAACATACTCATGATTGTGCCAGGAACAACTGTTGCAATTGGAGGCATATGAAATATTATTTCTTTTCTGGGTATCTCGGTGCACTATTTGTGCAAATGTGAAAGATTTACATCGTATATTAAATGAGTTATGTATTCCTGGAAATAACATGTGACATATTAAGACGGCTGCATAAAGATTCCAAAAAGTACACATCTCCCTAACACCAAATTTGAACATATGTTGGCTAGGTATATAGGCTCATTTGACATTTTCAGTACATTTTCAAAGAATGCCAGATCTGCAGGATATAGTCTAGAGTCAATTTGCAGTTGATCAGATACTATAATTCTAGTATCTGGACACATCCTTTAGAGGGATACATTAGCGATCTGACTGTATAATGAGACTGTAAGCTGCAATGCGTGTGAGCTTAATAAGTCCCTACCTAGCCTACCTCTGAAGCCGACGCCTAGATTGGAGAATTATCCAAAAATCATCGTATTTAGAAACCAAACATGTATACCTTCTCAAAATACTCTGCAATTTTGTCGTTTCTACAATGGGTGTTGATAACTGCCAACACAGTACATGTCTCTTCAATTTGCCTTTTAATATAATTTGCTCTAAAAAATGAATACTTCTTTGGTTAAATCTAGTTCAATCTTGAACGAATATTTAAGGACCTCAATGCAATACACTAAAATGTAAGCAGGCTTCTGATTGTTGTTTACTAGCGCAAGTATCTCAGAGTTGCTCTTTTAGCAAGGATGCATTAAATCATCATGTAAGTAAGGTTCTGATTGGTTCATAATTTACGGCGCTAAAAATAAACTCCACGGGCGCGAAGATGTTTCTCAGCGCGTGTAAAATAACAGTCTTAACGCCCGTAATTAATAATTTTAACGCCGTAAGTTCACTCCTGTAAATGTATTCTGAACGCCCGTAGAATTTACTTCTTCACGGGCGTAATTTACGCCTACACAGGCGTAATTTTTCGTCAGCACGGGCGTAATTTTACATCTACACGAGCGTAATTAACGCCTACACACCCGTAAACAACGCATGCATTCTTTATACTAATAGGCCAACCATAGTAAACAACGCATGCATTCTTTATACTAATAGGCCAACCATAAGTACAATTTAAATACGTGTAGTTACAACCTCCAAATTACCTCAAGGCACCATCGTCCTCTCAGATAATACGCCACTGGGTCATCAGGATTCAGAGAAATAGCCTTGTCAATTCGTTCCTACAAACATGAGAAACACGTACATGAAAATGAACGAAATATAGTATTATATCTTAAAACGTTTTTTTTAAATATATTTGGATGATCATGGCTGGTCAGTGATCATATAACCCAACTAGAAAGGTATTTGAATCTTACTACTCTCTATTGTTATAGTAAAGATCGAATGAGAAAAAATACAGGGTGGGCCAAAAAAGTTCTTTTTTTTTATTTCGATATTACTTTTTTGAAAATTCATGGATTTCAATAAAATTTTGGCAAGATATGTAGAAATCAATCTTACAATTGTTCCTGAAGTAGCATAAATCTACTATCTTGGATATGAGTTAAACTAGAACATGTAAATAGCTCAACTGGCGGAGTCTCCACAAATGGGAGGGCATGTCACTTATTTTTGTCTTACTTCATGTTAATTTCCAATTTATAACTCATAACTTATATCATGAGCTCTTAAGAGGAAGCCCATGACAAAATCGCATGGAATTTAAGCCATCTGAAAATGTGTGATGTAAATTTTTTTATTTGTCTGTGATATATTGAAAGTAATACACTTTGCATTCGTTTGACTTCACTTCTTAAAAGAAAGCTTCGTCTTCTGTAGTTAGACTGTACTGTACTAGACTCTGCACGCAGGTAAAGTAACAATGCGTTGATTACGACACGTTGAAGTAAATATGACGATTAAAAAATATTGGCAGCGGTGGGATTCGAACCCACGCCTCCGAAGAGACTGGTGCCTTAAACCAGCGCCTTAGACCGCTCGGCCACGCTACCTTCCGTACTGCGATAATTAAACACTATTATAAGTAAAGGCAAGTAAGGTAATGACAACTTTTTTGGCAAACATCTTTCGCTCACATTGTACCTTGGACATGTCAAGTCTTTGGGTATATGATTTGCAATCGTCTTATTTTAAATTAGATAAAACCTTTCAACTGGCTTTAGAACTTTGAACAAACACTACATTGAAGATTTTCATAGTTGGTTTGGGCGCTGGTTTTAGGCACCATTCCATTCTCAAAACAAGCAGCTTTTATCATATTGCATCATTATTAATTAGTTCAACAAGTTAAACCCAATACCACGGCTTTCATTTATTAATCTGAATGTTCTTGTTGCCGTGGTTGGGTTTAACTTCCGTGCTATGCTTTCATTTGTTGCAAATTCTCACAATCAGTTATGAATTAAACGCGCATGAAATTCCATGCGCTACCATAGGCCACTATTAAATTTTTTGCATCAAGGGCCGAATAGGCACGGACGTTAAACCTAGGGCGGGCCACAAGATATGTCAGATAAGAAATAAGGCCCAGACTAGGTTTAACTTGTTGAACTACATTATTAATATGCAATGATCTAAATCAACTTTATTCTCATGTGAATTTTTTGTACGAAACACTGGTTCATAGTCCTTGGATGGTAAGTGGGCAGTCAAAATGTTCAGATCAGTGAATTAGTTGATAAAAATCAATGGCAGCGGTGGGATTCGAACCCACGCCTCAATGAGACTGGTGCCTAAAACCAGCGCCTTAGACCGCTCGGCCACGCTACCCCATGACATAACGTGTATTGTTTATTCGAAACGAAAGGATGATTCATCGTGCTAATTGATAAGCACAGCGATTGATATTTGAGATACTTTACCTATACACTACCTATATTACACCCAGAGAAGTGATATCTTTTTAATTGTTATAATGTCAATTATAGCACAGCACAAAGTTTATTTGAAAAATGAAACTTATTATATTTTCATTAAATCCATGAGAACGATTCATCAAGTTAGTAATTAGTAACAGCAGGTGATTATTTTCGGCTTTGTTTGTTTGCATTTGTTAATAGATATATTAAATCATTGCCATCTATCATTGTATCAAAAAGTAACTTTCGCCATACACTTCATACACTGTCAAAGGCATCGTGTTTTTAAATATATAAGCACTAGTGCCAAAATAAAGAAAAAGCATACTCTAAGTGCATACCAATTAAGAAAAACAAACCCCATATAGCCCAAAACCATGATCTAACGTGAAAAGAAACAATGTCTAATACCCCCTTTCCCCCACCATTCAAGAATCAATATCACAATCCAAGACCAGAAGACCAAGGGACATTTCATTCATACTGAAGTCATTACAATACATGTTGAAGAAAAAATTAGAAATTGATAGCCAATTGATAGCCAATACTCATAACCTCAAAAATTGTTGTAGATACAAGTACTCATACAAGATAGAGCATTCAGTCTCAAATGATGTGGGATAGATAAAATCCAGTCTCCAAGTCCATAGTCGTTTCAAAGGGTCAACATCCATTCACAAAAGCCGTCGCCATAATCCAAGTATTTTGGCAGCTGCCGATCATTCGAACCCATGCCTCCTAAAGCATTGCCGAAAACCGGACACACTTCCTCCCATACATACATACCTAATATTTCTTAAAATTCGAATCATGGACAAATGATCAGTTATCTTAGCGTTTTGAACATTTAGCAATGAGAATACTTTTTGTGGTGTCGGGTAATCTTTTATTTGTATTTTGTGGGATACAAGTCCTAAATATCTAGACTTACTTATTGAAATAATTAATGATGGAATGTGTTTGAATATGAATGTTACATAAAACATTTAATTAGATATTGCTCTAAAAAATCATAAGATGGTTTAAAATAATTGCTGCATTGTGTATTTCGATTGGTAAGAAAGCATTCAATATGCAATTATGCATGTTTTGTTCTAGAAAGCAGCCAACGGTCAATGTGCATGTTTTGTTTCAGAAAGCAGTCAACGGTCAATGTTCATGTTTTGTTTCAGAAAGCAGTCAACGGTCAATGTTCATGTTTTGTTTCAGAAAGCAGTCAACGGTCAATGTGCATATTTTGTTCCAGAAAGCAGTCAATGGTCAATGTGCATGTTTTGTTTCAGAAAGCAGTCAACGGTCAATGTGCATGTTTTGTTTCAGAAAGCAGTCAACGGTCAATGTGCATGTTTTGTTTCAGAAAGCAGTCAACGGTCAATGTGCATGTTTTGTTCCAGAAAGCAGTCAACAGTCAATATGCATGTTTTGTTTCAGAAAGCAGTCAACGGTCAATTATGCATGTTTTGTTCCAGAAAGCAGCCAACAGTCAATATGCATGTTTTGTTTCAGAAAGCAGTCAACGGTCAATGTGCATGTTTTGTTTCAGAAAGCAGTCAACGGTCAATATGCATGTTTTGTTTCAGAAAGCAGTCATCGGTCAATATGCATGTTTTGTTCCAGAAAGCAGCCAACAGTCAATATGCATGTTTTGTTCCAGAAAGCAGTCAACAGTCAATATGCATGTTTTGTTTCAGAAAGCAGTCAACGGTCAATTATGCATGTTTTGTTCCAGAAAGCAGCCAACAGTCAATATGCATGTTTTGTTTCAGAAAGCAGTCAACGGTCAATTTGTGCATGTTTTGTTTCAGAAAGCAGTCAACGGTCAATATGCATGTTTTGTTTCAGAAAGCAGTCATCGGTCAATATGCATGTTTTGTTTCAGAAAGCAGTCAACGGTCAATGTGCATGTTTTGTTTCAGAAAGCAGTCATCGGTCAATGTGCATGTTTTGTTTCAGAAAGCAGTAAACGGTCAATATGCATATTAGGTTTCAGACGGCATGGCAGATGGGTGTGAAAAAAGATAATTTACAACTACTACTAGGAAAAACCACAGAACTCATCGGAGCATATGAACTAACCTTAATGACGAAACTCTTTTCTATTTTTTCCTTAATTATTCCCTTGGCTTCCGATAAAGCACACAGAATTGTGACATACCTGCAATGTTAATGAACAATCTTGGAATGAACTACCGATTCATGTAGTTTGTAAAGACGTCAATAACCTTATTCATTGTTTCGTAGCATTTCAGGAAAATAGGACACGTGATGAGTAACAGTTCAGGTGTAAAAAGGTAGGTGGTCCTATCAAATGTTGGTCCTACTCTCTATTGATTTATATGGTGACCTAATTACAATTATTTTCCTTATTATTTATACAGTCAGGGCCAGTAAGGGCCGTTAGGAAAGGGGACCATAATCCCCAGGGGACCATAATTTCTTTTACACCGGGAGTAACAGTAACAGTCACATATTCAGCAGTATTCAAAGTGTTCAGAAACGTAGTGATCTGGTCTACACAAGTAATACTTTCAACAAAAAATGTCATTCGCCTACCATTTGTTTACCCTGGCGTCTTCTGGTTTAAGTTCAAACGCTCTTTGCATCACTGCGTTAGCCTCGTCCAAAGTAGACTTGTGCTTCGACTTGTTCCTTTCTACTAAATGAACTAGAGCTACCGAATGAATGAAACAAGCATATCTCCATAGGAAATTGGCGTCGTTCTTGTACTGAAATGTAAAAGTTACAACGTTTTAGTACCCAGAAGAATGCCCGGGCCAGAATGACCATTCAAAATGAACAATACTACTATGGCTAGGTCTAACGCGTGGCTGGATCTAATGTCTTACATTGTCTTTCTCTTTTGTCATGATGTCATAAACATCTCGTATCTGTTGTGGCGTTCCAGCCCAGGTGATGTCGTCAAGTTTGTTTGAAGTAAGAAGGTCCTCTAAAGATGGTGGCCATTCGCCATATGACTCCCCATCCCTATAAATATACAATTGACACAAATTAAAACTACACCGACATAAAATATGATGTAAGCAGATTAGAATATGGTACCAAAAAACGTTAGGGAATATGGAAGAGTAGACACAGGCATGGGAAAACAGTAGCAGTCCCCGATATCCAATTAATGATCCAAATTACAAAGAAACAAGGTCTTAAGCACGTCCTAACTCCACCCAAAATCCAGGAATCGTGTTCACAATCCACAGCCACAAGACAATGATTGAGACATTTCTTTAATACATCAATTTAAGGTTCAAGAATATATTTCATGGTCATCATTTCAATTTATTAAATTGTCTTTGAAATAATATGTTCATGACTTCAGAAGATTGTCTTAAATCCGACAATGGCTTAGCCTTTCAATACTTACGGGATTTTTGTGAAGTTCATTACACCAATAGCATCACCGCACGTGTAACTCTGAAACAATAAAACATCACCCGTTTCAATAAAGTGTATTTAAACAAACCATTTGGAGACTTCAAAATCAAGCATAAACGCCATTCTGATACTCATAGCATCTTTCTGTTTCTCCTGAAGGGCTGAGAAGAAATGAGATGTCATGGTTTATCATGATGCATAAACGCTGGTATCTCCAACAGAAACACTTTAGCGTCTGGGTACCCGAATATGATGCTTCATCAAGACATATCATTCGATATTCATGCACTTTTCCAATATTTAAATGTTTATTTTCATTTCTCATGTTATACATGTAGGCTCGTCTTATCTTCAGAGTTATATCATTTATGTTATAATATTTATTGTACCGCTCTCAATGTGTTTGCATCTATTGGTTCTCTGATAGTTGTGCAGTCAAAATCGCCTCTTTGGCTCATCTTTAAGTTGTCACCATCGATCGAATAGACAATCTGGAAACGTATGAGTACAAAAAGCCATTTATTTGACAGCTGAAAGTATAGTAAGTTAGTAGTATTGGTATATTTTGGTAAATGAGGATAAATATAATATGTGTGGTCTTTATGACTTACGTGAATTTGACGACCATCAACTGTCATTTCTTCAAATTCCTTTCCAAGTTCAAATGTTGAAGTTGAACGTGTCCCAAATTTAGACACTTCTTTGATGGTCCATTTGTTGCCATCTTGGGATATGAAGTGAGCGACTTCTGTGTCACTAAGGATGTTATTTCGGAAACCTTTTGACAAGCCTTAAAAATCACATAAAGTTATATAACAAGACTAGATAACTAAAATTGAATATAACCATTTGGATCAAAATGTTGAAAGGCTATGAAATTTGTCTTTTCATCACCATGACCGAACGCTCTACCAATGGGTCACGATACCTAAGTGCTCTATCAATGGGTAACCTGGTCGATATGTAGGCCTATACTTAAAATTTGATAGACAATAATAGAAGATAGTGTTTGATGAAAACAAGAGCATATATTGCATCTAGCCTACTCAGCTGTAACATACCTATTTTGAGGAGAAATTCCTCCATATTATTCAGACTCACGAGCCTCCATCGTCCTTCTACAGCCATGTTCCTGTGCCTAGGGCGTACGAACTCTTACCAAATTTACGCCCTTTCACTCTATCACTGGACAAGATGTCGATCAAAAGACGATTCGATCAGCTGCTGTTACAGCACCGGGAAATTCGAAGACAACGGCGTTCAATATTATCACCTAACCACTTTCATTATTGGCTACAGCTCTCCCTAGTAGTGGATTTTGTCGATACTACAATCCAGAAATACCAAACCAATATTGAATGTACGCTTCGTTGGACTTCGTTGGCTCGCGGTCGTTAGTTATTTATTCCCCTGGGGCGCCCTCGGGTCATTACACATTAAAATGCATGTCCTTATGCCTTTATTTATGGATCTGTCATCTGTCTAGTCATAAAATAAAGCCGGAATTGTAGAAATGTTAAAAAAGTTTAGCCATTTTGAGATTTAATAATCTTTAAAATTGAACCCTTCAATGACTGTATCATGTTCCACATAGGTGGGTAGGTGGGTATGAGGTAGGAGGTTTTTTATACAAAGCCTCGGAAAAGTCAAATTGGACACATCTATTGTATTCTAAAATTTGGCGCATGTAATGTTTCTGTTACAATGGAAAAAACTGAATGTAATTTTGAACAAATTAATATAACTCATCGGATGGGTGCCGAACTGAAAATCGGGGCAAATATGTCCAACAAAAAGAAGATGATTTTTCTATTAAAAAAGATGTAGCTATGAACAGACAAACTATGAATTACATTTTTCTGTCGGCATTGACACGTCCACTTGATGTTTACATTAAAACGAGTTTGGCGTGTAAAATATTCACGCTCAGGTGAATTTCACAGCTGTACCTGTGATCACCATTTGCTTTATTATGTCGCTAAACAGCATTAAAAATTGGCCAGCATAAGATGATTGCTGATTTAACGTTGCCTTTGTTGTTGATATATCTTCCGGCATGTAAAATTGATTTCACGTCGTTCACATACCGATTTAAAGCATCCAGAACCCAAAAGTGTTACGATTTTACTCCATATTGTAGTATACCCATTGCCCACACTGTTATAAAAATATGAATACCAGTGGGTTTCCTCAGCCATATGAAATGTCAACAATGCACTATCGTGTTAGTGTCTTATATGTTTAATTTTGAAAAATGTCAAGGCTGGGGTTAACAAGTGTTGTATTAATCGGATTTATGGTTTGTAGAAAAAAACGGGTACCGGATACTAAATCCTCCATGCTGGGTTCCGACTTGGTACCCGGTACCCGGTCGAAAAAGCCGAGTTCCCAAAAACCGGGTATACGTTTCTTTACAGTAGACTAGAACAGGAATAAAGCTTGTACTCCCTTTATTTACGTCATATTTCACTGGTGATCCGCTCGATTACGCTTGTTACCGAAACAGTTCGTTTTGGTAACAAAATGTTGGATTTCCAGCGCCTGATAGATCGACAGATGAAATGATGTAAATTGTTCGGGATTTTCATTTCTTTTAGGTGATTTCGTTTTTCGCTTTTTTGGACTACCTATTTTTAATGTTATGAGTATTGGCTATCAATTTTTCCATTTTTCTTCAACATGTATTGTAAATTATTATGACTTCAGTATGAATGAAATGTCCCTTGGTGTTCTGGTCCTGGATTGTGATATTGGTTCTGTATTGGAGGGGGAGGGGGATGTTAGACATTGTTTCTTTACACGTTAGATCTTGGTTTTGGGAAATATAGGGTCTACTTTTCTTATGACAGATTTACACGTACAATTTGCTTTTCTTGTTGGGTTTCTTTAAAGTTTTTAGTCACCCTTCCCTTTTGGCATTTGCGCTTATATATTGTATTAGGCCATCTATCAAAAGTAACTTCATATACATGTACATACTTATCTATACAGGGTGATCAAAAAATAAGGTAAAAGTATCTGACATTTTGCGAATATTGGTTTTAACATCCTGATTTGGTCAGAATATACCTAGTACATTTCTTAATTAGAACATATACATATATAACTTCTGTCATTTGATTGGTCAATATTATAGTTGCCATGGCCGAAAAGTAGGGGCAATATTGTCGAATACACCAAGCAGGGCTAGGCACAAACGTTTTCCGTACCCCAAACGACCGAAGTGAGTGAAGGGTTCGAAAGCTTTTGTGCCTAGCCCTAAGGGGTGTATTCAACGATATTACACCTGCTCTGAGGTCTATATTACGATTCGAACATGAAAACTCACCAAAATGTTTCGAATATTCATCATGGTCCGCCATTTCTACGACCCACCGCTATAACGTCACACCAAGGAGGATTGGCTCCCAGAGTGCAACATCGATATTCTGTCCCATATATAGGCATGTCGTGCTACAAAATTTGAATTCCAACGACCGCCATTTTGTTCACTTCAACATTTGAATCGTGAATTTTGGTCTTATTTCCTAACGAAAAATTCCAAAACTCACAGGAAATAATCAAGATTTTGGTTCAAATCTTTTGAACTGTTTATTTTGAATTTATAATCGGTTTTAATTTCAGAAAATAACGACATTTCGGTGTTTTCATTGTTGGAAAATATCGAGTTCGATTCTGGGAGCCAATCCTCCTTGACGTCACACATTACACGTATTATCAGGGGTATTGATCACGACTATATAACGGGTGAAATGTTGACTTTGTGTACAGTTTATAGAAGGCGTTAATACAGTCATGTTCGAATCTCTATTCTCGCCTATACGGGTTTTTGCTAACAATAGAGAATTTTCGTTATAAGTTGTTTCAAAAACTTATACGTATACTTATAGTTTAAAGGGTCTTGTCGAACTAAAATCAATTCAAATTGATTTTCATAATCTGTACCAAGTGGGGCATAACTATTCCCGATATAGTCAAGCTCCATCATCAACTAGGGACTGCGAATACAATGTCCTTTGCTAGTGTCAATTATGAACACGATAAACTAAACGCTAGTAGTCCAAAAACATTAGACCTAGCCCGGGCCTCGTTTCTTATCTGACATGTGTTATGGCCCGGCTAGGTCTAACCTCCATGACCATTTTGCCTTTGATGCGTTAATTTAATCGTTCAGCAGGTTTCGACAAGCGGAACAAATTAAACCCTGAAAACATGGCAATATTACACAAAGAATGTGATTCAAACATGCATACATACCTTATAAACACATACACCCCGTCCCGTATCCCCCTTAGACCCTATTGATGCATAATTACGAAAATATTGGAGACAGGTTTGGAATATGACGAAAATGTCGGTCAGTTTCGGTAACATCGAAATTGCAAATCGTTTCAGGAATTAACCGTCATCACGGCACTGCATTAACGAACAGTGGGTTTGCAATAGTATAGTTTCCATATAGCTTTTGAAATCTCGCTAAATCTCGTTTTTCGTGAGATTTTAAGAGACTTGCATATTAGACCTCTTATGACTTACATTAACTTCTTTTAAATGGTATATTTGAATTCAGTGGAATGTTTTCTCCTAGAATAGCTTTGATTTACACAGTTATGTAATTTGAATAATTTTCTATGACAATTTAAAAAAAGTTGGGCCAAATGTCCATAGATGCAATGCTAAAATTCTTTAAAACCGTGGATTATTTGTATGTCAATCAACATTAGCATGTTTAATCACAACATGTTCATAAACAGGGTCATCATGTGGTATATCATTCAAGTTTTATACAGATTCAACAAACACACTTTGATAAATCATGAAATTAAGCCACTTTTCCAAGATTTTAGCATGTAAGTGAATGGAGCTCTAGCCAGAGTTAAAAGCTGAATAAAAGATGGCAGCACGAGATTTCATTGATTTTTCTGCTATTTAGAAACTATCCTATTAATAACTATTTTGCGTGTATACACGCGCTATATAAATTAAACAAAGATACCCGTTATCCTCAAAATTGATCTTTTTATCCCGAGTAATCGCGATAATAATTATCAATCTATTTGACAACAATTTCGTTTCGCTGGTAGTTTAATTTTACGATCCGGGACACTCAGACGAACAGACACAATGACGGAACATGCGGAAATGTCACTTTAGAGATTGGTAAGTGTGGCCTCATTTTACTCGTATAAATGAACATTTAACACAAAAATATTGTGTTAAATCGCTTGATGTTATGTGTTTTTATATTATTGTCAAGTATCAGTTGCACGTTATCGCGGAAAAATGGTTTCGATGTATTCAGAACTTGCATCAAAGGAAAGAATAGCAAGGAGGTTAAACTCAATAACGGCCCCAACAAAATTCCTAATAATAAAGAACGCCGTTATTGAGTTTAACGACGTTGAACTAAACGCTAGTTGACGGGTCCTTGTAGTGTACGATAAACAAGACCCTTTAAAGTGAATCACTACACGAACGAGTCGATCATTTCAAAGTTCTCATGAAATTATAAGGTCAATTTTTAAGTTTTTACGTATAAAAGGGCCTTTATACGCAGATTATAAACTTACAGAGTTGGATCTCCGCATAGTATATGTGTGGACCTACTGACCAGAATGGCTTATTAAAATTAATCGGCTGAATAGGCATAGTATCCAATCAAACAGCTCGATTCATTCATTAGCTGAACTAATTCTCCCTTCGTTATTTCTACAAGGTGATTCAAAACGATCATCTACAAAAAATATATTTGAGAGTAGATAAATCTGTAAAACCCGCGTGCTATATCAGCCCTATTTGATTCTAGAAAACACATATGACACAACTTAACATGCTTTACATCAAGGGGGTACGGATGGTATGCCATTGGCCCTTTTTATTACCGTCCTAGGAGATATTTCCCGACGAATTAGGACATTATGAAACACCTTGTTTATTGGGTTTATAAGTATAAGTATACGTATAAGTTTTTAAAAAACTTATAACGAAAATTCTCTAGTATTCTACAAAGTGCTTGATGAGTTTATTTTATGTCTGGTCGAACACTAGGAATATATGTAGAATGTAGTTTGACGACGCCAGGGCTTTTATAGAGGTTACTTTGAAATGCAACATCGCATTTATAAGAACTGAAACTGTTTCACTGGGAAAGTGAACACATCAGAGATAAACAAATTGTTGAAAAGGTAAATGTAATGTATATTGATCATCCTGTGATTCACAAAGTAATTCTATAACGTATTGAAATCGTAATACATTTTTTTGTTAACGCCC